ACGAAGCCTCAAGAAGCCTCAAGATTTACAAAATGAGACAAAGACGGAGGAGAAAACTCCACTCCCACAATAACTCCGCTGTCTCCTCTTCTTTCTAAAACCTCAGCTGAATTACAACTAATACAAATGCTCAAAAATAAGACTACCAAAACATTAAATCCAGCGTCTCTTCAAAATCAAGAACAATCATTCTCTAATTCAGATGTCATTAAAACTACATACTTAATAAATCTGAATAGAAAACCTCTCTTTCAAACGAACCACCTCCTTCCCCAAATCCCTTTAAAGATCCATTTCTTGGCCAAGTTTGAAATAATTACATTAACTTATGCTAAGCTCTTCGTCAACCCCGAGCGTTTAATCTTTTCAAGTCATAGATTGAAACCTCGAGACGCACACACACACACACACACACACACACACACAAAGATTGATGCGCACCCTCTCACGGCGCTGCGTGTCAATTAACTAAACCCAATTATTTATCTCCTCAAGAATTCAGGCAGATAAGAGCGAGGGTTGCTGTGAAGGCTGAGCTCCGTCCTGCAGCACCACCTGGGACTCAGTGACATCACCATCACAGAAAAAAGAAATTACAATCAATAAAAACAGCGACCGGCTCTCGAGTGACGCAGCAGTGACGCAATCAGCAAGACTTCGAGGAAAAAGTAGCATTTATCTGCATGGAACAACGTGTTCGATTACGATCAAAGCGTTTCCAAAACTTTTTCCTGAAGTGAAACAATTCTGTCAAATCCGGTCAAACGTGACACGAGTCAGCAGAAGCCAGAGACGCATTCAGATGTCAAACAAATGCCTCAGACAGAAGTCGTGTGCTGACAAACCGGCTCTCTTTACAATGTTTATATGCTAAACAAAGACGGATGGGAAGCTGCGGTAATGTGTTTTATTATTTTAATTCCACACGAGATGCAACGTCGAGGAGGGATGACGGACGGGTTTATAACGTGGTGTGATGAAGCAGGAGTTGCTCCTCAGGTAGATATTACTAAGAAAGAGGGATGAAGTAATTTGATTTGGTTGAATGTGATGACAGATAAACTGTTGCCACACACCAACAGACACACAAAGAAAAAAGTTGCCCTCCAAGTGAAGCTGCAATAAAAAATGAAAATGTAAAACCAACACACTCAAATCGAACTCATTGATTTTAATAAATAACTAGTCTGGAGAAAATCCTAGTTAATGTGAATCTGAATAATTCTTAACAGTCCTACATTGTGTAAATCCATGTTTATTGTGTTTTCTGTGCATTATAAACTTAAAGCTGTGAACTAAAAGTTATGAAAATATGAAGCTGTTTACTGCAACACCTCCATTTTCTGTACAACTGGATAGCATCCCAGGTTTACAAGCCGGTACAAATTGAATTGACAGAAACCATTCAGGAGGAGCCGCTGCTTTACATTCGGTCACAACAGATGTTCTGCAGTTGGCTACAAGAGTGAACGCAAACGTCTTCCTGTACTTCCATCATCTGAGGAACTAAAGGCCCAGTGCATTACTTACGAGGTGTGTAAAAAGTTCCAGGACTGGTGTCACAAAAGATATATTTCAAATCCAAACTTTTCCCCTTCGAAGTAATCCCCCTGGAGTCTAACACACTTCCCCAGCCTTCTCTGCCACGTCGCCATGCACTCCTGGAAGGATTCTTCCAGGATCCTGTGCAGCACCATCGTCACAGCCATCTTGAAGTTGTCCACGTCTTCAAAATGAGTCCCCTTGATGACTCCCTTGAACTTGGGAAAGAGGAAAAAATCCCATGGAGCCAGGTGGGGTGAGTAGGGAGGTTGCTCCAGCACGGCGATGTTCTTCTCAACCAGGAACTGTTGGATGCTCAGGACATTGTGAGGAGGTGTGTTGTCATGATGACCTGCCACAACTCTCGCCTCTTCTCGCGCACTGAACAAAGCAAACACCACAGGGTCTCTTTGGCGACGTGCTGGTTGATTGTCTGAAGGGGAAAACTGGTAGTGTGTAGTTTGGGTTTGAAATATATCTTTTGTGACACCAGTCCTGGAACTTTTCTAACACGCCTCATATATTTTTGACGGCAGTGTCACCACAACAATAGGAAAATTGTGAATGGTTAGCACGTTGCACTGCTAATGTGGCTAACGACACCATAAGCTTTAATAATATACCCATAGGTCAGAGCTCCATGGAAACCTTAAGAACAAGTTGAAATTAATAAACAAGGAATGGGGGGGGTTTCAGTATTTCATGTTGCCTATTGTGCTTCAGTGAAACCTGAAGTCAGCCAGTGTTTGCTTCTCTCCTGCTCTCTGTGCTCACATATATTTTATTTTAATACAGTCGAATTTCCAGTGAGGATGTTCTCATTTACATAATTTTATGTTTTTGTTGTCAGGCAAAGGAACTTTAAAATATTGACTGACACTAAACCATTTAAGACTACAAGCTACCCAGGAGTCAGAGCCGTTTACAAGCTGCGGCTCTACACTGCTCACTACAGTCGTGACTTGATAATTCGTCCCTTAACAATCTGAAAACCTTGCTATCTGACTGGTTTTTCGGAAAAACAAACAGAACCCAGTAAAAATTGTCTGAACATACTGACAACCTTGGATTCCGACTCCAACATGACATTTTATGTCACAATAAGGATAACGGTGTATGATCTGACTTAACAATCCTACAGATTGGCTACGTTCAGACTGCAGGACTTAATGCTAAATTCAGATTTTTTTGTGAAATCCGATTTTTTTGCGAGTTTGTTCACATTTCCAATTAAATGCGATTTGTATGTGATCTGCTGTGTGAACTTCATACGACCCAAAAGTGTCCCACATGCGCAGAAGAGGACAGTGTTCAGTGTTTACGGAAGTAAACATGGATGGTAATGATGAAGCGTATCTGCCACTCCCCCGCCGCCGATGGTGGAAACAGAACTGTGACCGCTAGCTCAACTGGCATCAGCAGCCTGGTACTGCCTGTGTGTTCCAGCCACTTCCACCCCGTCGGAGCGTTCCACCGGGATGGAAAAAATGGGACAGAGTGTTTGCTCTGGAACCATCTACTACAGGAAAACAAGTCTTTACGTCTCTTCATAAAACATTTTTATCCGACTGCCTTTCCTGATTTGATTGAGGTCTATTTTCTTTGAGCTATTGTTGTTATTGTTGTTGTTGTTTTTAACTTTTCCAACACTTAAATTGGTTTTATACACCAAAATATGCTTTTGTCATTTAAAATCCAACGTCACACGAGTCATAAAGACTTGTCTTGCTGCCCTTGAGAAGCAAATTATGTAACTTGAATTTTGAATTAGTGCTCTATAAATAAAGATTAGAATTAATACAGGATGCTAATACGACAGCAATTACTTTTAAAATCAAAATAAACAAGTAAACCGTCAGTAATTATGTTTACTGTGAGTTTTATTGTGAGATTTTTCTTTGATGTTAGTTCGTTGTTAGCGTGCATCATTCACAAGTTCATTAGTCCTCATCATCCTGCTATGGCCATCAGAGGCTTCAGGAAATGAGTTCAGCCAAAGGAAGATGATAAAGAAGGAGGTATTATGTGACACCGGCTCATCGATTACAGATGAATACAGTCATCTGACATGAGCCTCCTGAGCTCCGATACCTGCCCTCTGCTGCTCCGCTGATAAGGCCGAGCCACTGGTGCTCTCCAATGTGTGTGTGCGGTCACTAGATGAGCGTAAAGCCAACTGATAGGTGCTGTATTGACATATTGGATGAAGCCGCACATCTTCGTCTCACATCTCGGCCTATCACAGGGCTGCGGACGCAGATAAGAGCGTCACAGCTAAAGAAGTGAAGTGAGTTGGTCCGAGTGCCGACGTGGCAGCAGCAACTCTGAGAGCAGCTACATTCGTGTTAGAAAAATCTTAACGGCACTATTTATCAGAGCCAGAAATGGTAAAAAACAGAAAAAAATCATCAGATTATTAACTTTTCAGTGGTCCTTGAACTACTTATTCGTGAGGTGCTGTTCTGTTGGGAAAAATAAAACAGATTTGAGCTTTAAATCCATCCATTATCTATACACCGCCAAATCCTTACTAAGGTTGTGGGGGGGCTGGAGTCTATCCCAGCTGACTCACGGTGAAGGCAGGGGACACCCTGGACAGGTCGCCAGTCTATCACAGGGCTACACTTAGAGACAGACAACCAAGCACACTCACATTCACACCTACGGACAATTTAGAATCACCAATTAACCTCAACATGTTTTTGGACTGTGGGAGGAAGCCAGAGAACCGGAGAGAATCCACGCTGCACGGGGAGAACATGCAAACTCTTTCAGAAAGATCCCGGGTTTCCTCACTGGGACGCGAACTGGAGACCTTCGTGCTGTGAGGCAGCGGTGCTAACCACTGCTCCACCTTACAGCCTGAGCTAAAAATCAAGATATTTCATTCAAATTTTATTAAGAATTCACTTAAACCAAGCAGATTGTGTAAAAACTAAAAATTATACTGTCCTCATCGCAGCCATGAAGCCTTTAATGATTAAGCTGCAACCAACAGTCACTTCACAAAAATTCACAGAATTTTCAGATGAACTGGGCTGAACTGCAGGCTGTGTTTATACTGGGCCAACTGAAGATAAGCACAAAAGCAAATTACAAATGTAATTAGTAAAATATCTATAGTATGTAGGATCCCAAATTGTTTTTCTATGATTGGTGACACCTGTGGGCACTTGGCAAAATGTGGTACATGTTGATTCAAGGTTGTTTCAATTTTTGCAAAAATAAATAATGAAGGAAATTCCCGTTTTGCCTTTTTATGATTTATAGCATTATATCGGTGCACTACTGCATTAAAGACATATTTTTCTTCTTGCCATGGTTGTGTGGTTTCCGTGGAGCTGCAGGACTTTATATTGCAGTCAGAAAATCAGCTCACACTGAGTAAAAATGTGACAGGAGCAAAGAAACACTCAAAGAATGGTTAAATAAAAAGCAGAGTGGCAGATGTTTTCTACCTGAAAATGAGGTGGTTGACTTTGAACTGGGTCTCTATGACACCCGTCGTCCTCAACCGTACTCGCAGGACATCTGTCTCTGTTGGCACGAAGTCTGGAGACGTGATGCGGGTCATGTTCTCGAAGAAACTAGGAGAGGAGGAGGAGGAGGAGGAAGGAAGGTTGCAGAAAGGTTAAAGACAGGGGAGACACAAGGGGAAGAAGATAGAGAGCAGTGGCAAAATTAATAACTTGAGCAGACAAACTTGAGATCAAAAGAGAAATCAGGTATCGGTTACGGGGGCGTAGGCTCGTGCATTGTGGGAGTCGCGGCTGCGTCGGCTGCCAGGTGGAGGGCAGGGTGAGCAGTGATAAGGCTGCAGCCACAGGGGGCACATCGGTTCATCAGCATGAATATTCACACCGCGGTTTACCATAATAACACACTGAGGCTAAGCTTCCAAACACAGATTAGCTATTAACACAGCAGCCAGTGTAATCAACTGTATCCTGACTGTGTGCGCGTGCACTCACACAAACACACGCACACACAAAAAGCGGCATCTCCACCTATTTGAACTGACTGTGACATTCTCAACTCGTCATCCTGAATTAGTTTCTTGGGCAGCGACACACATCCTGCTGCATAAAAAAAAACACACACACAAAAAAAAACACACACATACAACATGTGAGTCTGGTTTGTACTTCTGTAGTTGTGAGGACCAGTGTGAGCTTTAGACAGATTGGTCATTTTTCAAAGAGAATACATTTTCTCCAGTCAAAATGCTGTGTTAGTTGATATTTTGGAACACTTCGGGGCGGCTGAACAAACTGAACACGTCACATTATCAACAGCTATTTACAGAGTTACAGAGTTAGTGCTGTTTCTGCAAATTCACGTTGCTTTCTTCTCCGTTTTTCTTTTTGGTTGGAATATGTATTTCATATCTTAGTTTAGATTTTGTGCATGATTCTGTTTTGGAGATTTACACTGAAGTGACTGAAATAAATAATTGTTAAATTAAGAACATGCAGTTGATTAACATAAATTCAGAGCTGTCTGATGAATACTGTGATTCTCTCTCCTTGTTCTGGTCTCCACCGACTCCTGAGGCTCACTCTTAAAACTTTGTCAGTGCAATTTTAAAGCTTTTTTGGGCTGAAAGCAGCCATTTGTTGCTAATGGAAACAAGATTGGTTTATTGATCCTGCCACAGTTTTACTCACTGTGGACTCATTTTTCACTGTAATATAAAGTCCTGCACCTTCATGGAAACAACACAACCCCGACTAGAAGCAGGGAGAATTCAAAAAGGTCTTCTGTGCAGTACAACACAGTTATAATTTAATTAATCACTTTAAAAATAATAATGAAATGTAATTTAAATTTCTTTGATCATTTGTTGACAAAAATGTGGAAAAAAAACTGGACTCAACGTGAACATTTTTACAAATACACACAGGTATTACAAACATTAGGAAAAAAACATGACTCTTTATACCATTCTGAGTTCTGAGTATTAGATAATGTCAAATAAACGAATGAGTTTTAGCGCTCTGGAGTTAGAGATTAATGATTATCTGTGGGTTTTCACACTAAAGTCACTTTCATATGAAATATATTCATTGCAGATCATAGCAGCTTTCAGGGTTTAGCCTTGGTTGTAGGTTTAAGGACAGAATCCGGTTCACTTTACTTGGACATTATACTTGCAGCAACATTGCATTTGCCAACAAGGAAAGTTCAGACGTTTAACAGGTTGTGCACAAATGAGCAGTTTAGTCTGACGATCTTAACCACCTTGTTTTGCAAAAAATACAAAAGTGAGCAGAACTATATGTAATTACAACTAAAATAATGGTATTTTCCCCTACAGAAAGCTGAAAGATGTTGGGGTTTGGTCATCCACTTGTGTTTCTTGTTAAAGTCTGACCTTTTTTAACAAAGTCAGCAACTACAAATACAAACTTAGCACTGCTAAAAGAGAGGAATGATCAGTTTTAACTAGAAAAAAAAATCCCAATTGAAAGATGAGTTTAGAGTATGCATTGTGTCAATAAGGGTCCTCACAAGTATCGTATCAGTATAATGTGTGTGTGTGTACGCATGGCGAGCAGAAGGTGACGGTGATGAACGATGGTTCTCAGTAGGAACCGGGGGCCTGTCGGTGTAGATAACCCCAGAGCAGAGGCCTCTCACTGGGGCAGAGGATGAGAACAGACGGCCTCCTGGTGGGTCTCAGCTCTGACACACACACACACACACACACACACACCAAACACGCACACAGACACAAACACACAGACCCACACGCACAAACTTCATCATCTTCACTTTTTAACTGCTGTGCCTACACTTGTGTGGCATTTATTTAAATTCTCCTAATCTCTTTCATTGCCCTCTCCAGCATTGCCTTTCCCCTCCACTCACTCATCTACACATCTCTGTATTTCATAGATGTTAAATAAACACATATAACAGCCGTTGAAGTGCACATATTTACAGTCTAGTGCAATCTGCCTCCCTCAACCTTCCCTCTCCGGTTTCCAGACGTTGACTCCCACTGACAGTGAGCACACGGCTGAGCATCAGCCGCTAAGTCCAGCTAATTAGACCCCTGCATCTCCTCAGCTCAGCGTGAGCGTGTGTTTGTGCTGGACGAGTATTACTCACTACAGCGCCGAGTCATTGAGCTCGTACTCGTATCCCCGGGCGGCCGCGGCCCTCACCCCCTGGTCGGCCCACAGACAGGACAGGGCATGGCTCAGGAAAGGAAACAGCACCTGCTCTTCGTCAAAACACCGCCCACACGACAGGACAGAATGGGCGTGGACCTGCACAGAAGAGACAGAAATGTGGATGAATGACCAGGGAGGAGGCCAGATGGAACAAAAAGTAAACGACAGGAAAGTTTACGAGCCTGCCTCTGCTCTCCAGGCTTATTAATCAGTAAGGGATGGACGGATAAATGCATGTGCACACAGACAAACACATGCGACAAACACATGCACATCCTGGTGACATTTAATAGAGGAAACACTTTGGTCATCATCTCCCAGTATGATGTGCCGAGTGGGCGGATAACGTACCAGCTCTAATAACGTTGACAATGAAGTTCAAATCGAATCAAACCTCACATTAAAACCACCCACCTATCAGAGAACTTTTTGCTCTCTTTTAATGCAAACAAACTATTGCTTTGTGTGTGTTTGTGTGCTGCCAGGTGTTACAGCTGCGGTGCTGAGATGCTGCTCTCTCGCGCCGATCTGGGTGCAGTGCAGAAATCTACGAGGAGCTGAATGAGAAGAGAAAACGAATCTGTGACTAACCTTGTTTCTGCTGTTTGCCAAGTTGATGCGGAGGACGCCCATCCCATGCAGGACGAACTTCATGGAGGTCAGGAGGTTATCGAGCACTGCAGGCTGAAAACATCAAAAGTTCAGAGGTCAGGTTTAAGACTGGCCCCTGGGCTGCAGCATAACTCATGAATACTGGTTTAAAAACCATAAACAACAGTCAAATATTACTTAAATTCACCCAAAACTATCAAATAGTGGTATTTATCAAAAATAAGTGCTTCAGCTCACACAAGGTATTGTTTAGGTTTTTCCTGCTTTATACAACAACCTTTTGTTAACCTCAGAAATCTTTAAAAACTTGCAATAAAGAGACTTAATGCATTCAAAATGTTTTGAGCTGCTTGTAATTTTAAACTTGCAAATAAATTTATGAAAACTTATGTCTGTTTAGAAGGTTTGGTATAGGTTTGGCCATATGAGAGCAGGAGAACAAGCTGTAAACACAACACTGACAGAACATCATCTTCTAAAGGTATAAAAGTAAAGCAAATTGTTCCTTATTTAATAATTAGAAATAAAAAAAATCAACAACAATGAGCTGACAGAGACTAAAATGCGTCACAAAACTGAAGGAAACTGCTGCTCATCACACCAAGCTTTCACATCACAGAGTTATTAGCTATATTGTGAAGATAAATATATTGATTACTGCAGCACAACTCTGAGATGTTTCTGGGTGTCTTTTTTGCTCCTGTCACATTTTAACTGCAATATACAGTCCTGCACCTTTCTGTAGCCACAGATGGAGGTAGAGTGGACTCCAAAAATGACAAAGTGATAATGCCATAAATCATCCATCCATCCATCCATTGTCTATACACCGCTTAATCCTCACTAGGGTCGCGCGGGGGCTGGAGCCTATCTCAGCCGACTTAGGGCGAAGGCAGGGGACACCCTGGACAGGTCACCAGTCTATCACAGGGCTATACTTAGAGACAGACAACCAAGCACATTCACACCTACGGACAATTTAGAATCACCAATTAACCTCAACATGTTTTTGGACTGTGTGGGAGGAAGCCGGAGAACCCGGAGAGAACCCACGCTGCACGGGGAGAACATGCAAACTCCACGCAGAAAGATTCCGGTGTCCTCACCGGGACGCCAAATGGCGACCTTCTTGCTGCGAGGCAACAGTGCTAACCACTATAAACATATAAAAGAAAATAAATAAAGTTGAATATATTCTTTGAATATCTATTTTTAAAATTGAATCAACAAATATAATATTTTTTGGAAGTGCCCACCAGTGTTATTTACATACTGAAAACATGGTCCATATTTGAGATATTTTATCACATACTACCTGCTCTGCTTGAACACAGCTCGCAATTTAGCCAAAAAGTCCCTCATTTTTTTGTTATGTGACTGTTGTTCACAGCTGAGTCATTAGTAGCTTCACAGTTATGCTGAGGAGTACAGAATTTTTCCTTTTTTACAGACTCTGCTTTATATTTAGCTAATTTGTAAACAAGACATGTAGAATAAAGCGATTTTGATTAAATATCATAACTTTAAGTTTACATTTGGTACATTTTCCTGACTATACTGAACATCATGCATGGATTAATGAAAGGATCACTGACAAGTTTAGATCTGATTTTTTTTCTGTTTCCATAATTTCTTGCTGTTAACTGGTGCAATTTTTATTTCAACTTCATAGTCACTTTTGTGGTTCAGAGGGTTGATGAAAGGCAGGCTGGGCACAGGAAGAGCATTGCTGCCTCCTGCTGATAGAAAAACAACAACACAGTCTTTACATGTGGAAATTATCCCCGTGTTTACCTACAATCCGAGCAGGGGAGTAATCACTAAAAACCCATTTTACTGTCACTGTGAAGTGATGCACTTATTGGATCAACCACAAGACATGTTAGTGTAAAGAAAATGTAAAGAAAAGAAGAATGAAATTAGATGCAGATGATTCCAGTGTTGCATGTGAATCAAGTTAGAAAAGCAAGTTGGTCTAGAATAAACCAGCAGCACATGGCCAATATGTCTGAATATACAAATGTTCTGAGCTTGTGTGTGTGTGTGTTTGCATCCAGCTGCAGTTGAGCTAAATGAGTGTGAAAGAGTGAAACTACAGCGTAACTCACATCAGTCTAGAAGAGCAGTCATGTAGGGGCTTCCCCTGCCAAGGCTTGTATCTTAACGTCTTGGGTTTGAGGAAAGTTTTCTGGATCAAAATGTTTTAAATTCTTATCTTGCCTGTGTACCACCTCCCTGCCAGGTTTCCTGAAACTCGGCTTTGTGGGTTTTTTTTTTTTTTTGCATTACTGTGCTGACACACACAAACTGTACCACAACAGAGAAATAATCGAATTTCAGAAGTTAGTTTTAGCACTCAGACACCTGGAAACTTAAGCAACTGAGCAGAGTGACTCCTGCAGAGGTGTGTGTGTGTGTGTGTGTGTGTTACTTATTCTCTCCATCACTCTGCTGCCAGCTAAAGATAAGCTTCACATTCCATAACGATTCTATCACAGTCTGGTCGCTCTCCTTTGTGTGTGTGTGTGTGTGTGTGTGTGTGTGTGTGTGTGTGTGTGTGTGTGTGTGCGTGTCAGTGAAATGTGTGAGGTGAGATAAGTGCGTGCGAGATGACGGGGCTTCATCTTTCGAGGAGAGTTGGTCTGTATTGATTTGTGTCAGAAATAAGCCGCTTTGTGCTTTTGTCTCCGTCTGCCTCACCGTCACTGTCATCTAGAGATACACAACTTTATATTACAATAAATTAGTTGTATAGCAATAATAACAACACACTCTTTGTCTTAAAAACAATAACATCTGATCTTTATGGCATAGTTTCTTTGTTTAATGACTATAAACAACACAAACCAAAAAAAAAAAACAGGAACTTTGATAGCGCGGTGGAAGCAGGGTTTAGGTTTGAGAAGTGCAATAAATTATGAAGTCAGTGGAAAAACTAATCTAAACTAGGCTGTAACTGACTTTTGATAAAGACAATAAACCTGCAACTGCGCTGATTAGGTTGGATGGCTCAGTGATAAATGGAGTATAGGTAAGTCACTATGAAGTCAGTAAAGGTCAAAGTAGTTTATTCTGCTACAAAACCTCAATAAACCAAAGCACACTGTGTTAATAATGTCTCACTTCTAACTAGTGGTTCTCATTTACAGAGCAGCACTCAGTCTGTTGCTTTGCCAGTTTGTGGATACGAATGGCTTCACATGATAAATGGATTTTTGACCACAAGGAAAACAAAATTCACACCTTGAAAAGAAGTTTTAGAACAATAGTGGTGCTATGAAGCAATGTTTTGATGAGTGGATTCTCATTTTATTAGTGTCTCATAAATTCATGGGAATCCTGCACATGTACAAATGTGTCGACAGCGGTTTCCTAATGTTTAACTAAACAACAGCTGTTTCCTGAGAGATGTATCAAATATATTGAAACATCAGATGTAAGACAGGGTGGAAGGGGAGCGATATGTGGTGTAAATGTGAGTGTAAATTATCCACATTTTATATCATTCAATAAAATGGCTGTCGCAGAGTTTTATGAGGAAGGAATTTCATCCGATGGAACTGCTGATGGGACAGTTCGGGACTGTGGGAAACATGTTTGTTTGTTTTCTTGCTGGTAAAATAACACCACAAATATGTAATGCAGTCAGAATGCCACCATGAACCACTATGACCTCAATAATAAAGGAGAATTATGGACAATGTCAGCAAAAATTGAAAATGTAGAAGCTATCGTAATGGCAGAATTTATGGCAGAGCTGTTGTTTGGATTGCATTAGATTTGACATGTGTCCAGTGAATGTATCATATTTGCAAATAAATTAAGTAAAACAAAAGGTAAAATCAATCTCTACTTTTGACTTGTGGAAAAAAGTGGGAAAAAAAATGTTTTTTTTTCTTCATTTCGCATACTTTTGTATTTAGCTAAAGCTAGCAGCCAGCTAGCTTAGCTTAGCATAACAGCTAACAAGGCTCTGTCCCACGAAAAACAAACACAAGCACATCTAAAACTCACAAATTTAGTTTGTTTGCTTAATACATTCTAAAAAATTAAGTAAGGTCTCCATTTTTTATGCTACACCTCGTTCTCTCCATAATGAAACCTACCAGCCAGTTTACAGCTCACAGTTGTTGTTTTTACACTTTAGTTTCTGTCAGATTTAATTAATATATATATATAATATATAGACATAGATATAAGGCATTCCTTGGTGAACACACACGGGTGTTTTTAATCTGGCCTTTGGTCAGGTTGAAGTTACACCTCATATGATGATGTAAAACTCTACAAAGCAATAAAAACACCATGAGGCAGATCATCTCTCCTCGACAGGTATGTTCGGTCTGATCAGGCACCAGTGTGGGTGGATCATGGGTGTGTTGAGCCTTTAAGGACAAAAGCAATTCCACATACTTCATTTGTACAAAAGGTCACAGGAGCAATACTTGCACTTACTTTCAACACATCTCAAAGAGGATTAAAACATTGAATTTCACTAAATTTGTAAAGGCTGTGGATGCATCCAGGTTTATTCAGATTTAAGTCAGATATGAAAGAGATTATTAGCTCAAAAGCAAAGGAATCTTGAATGTGGATGTCATAACTTTAATCTCCATTAACCTCTCTACATGAGCCCAGCCTGATAAAACCAGATCAAACTCTTCTTATGCTGGGTCAATCTGTCAGTGGCTCACAGTATATCTGCTCCAACTGACCCCTAATCTTACTTTAAAAGTGTTTATGTACAAATAAAAGTTATGAAAAAATCCTGCTCAGTGAAGTAATCTGAAAGGGACCCTGCAGAGGTTATGCCCACCGGTGGCACCGAGCATCAATGGTTTTATGAGCAGGTCCGTGTTTTGTTTATCATGCAGGTACATGCCAGCACAAATGCTCATGTGCAGAGTAATCCATATTTTTATGCTGATTTCAGTACAAACAAATGCAGCAAAGTGCCCACAAAGTGAGGATTGCTGGCAAGTCAACAGGTAAATAATACAGAATTCAAAATAATCGAGATATCTGTCTTGGAAATGGGTTACAAGTTAAAGAAACTCCACTGGGTGCCTTTA